TTTGCTCCTCCGCCGGTACTAGAAGTAGCTATCCTAGGTGCCGTCCTGTCTAGTGGAACAAGTAAAGAAGATTGTGCTTTATTGCTCCCAATACCCTGCCTATTCTTTGGATACTCTCGCATGAAATGTCCATTCTGACCACACCTAAAACAACCAATGAAGCCCTCTCGACAAATACCTGAGTGGTTCCTTCCACACTTGGCGCAGGCAGGAGGCTTACTATTCCCTTGCTCCACACTACCCGAAGATTATGCTAGTCTAGCCCTAAAGTCCTTCGAATTCTGGCCATAAAATTCACCTTTATATATGGGTGCAGGTGCTCTAGCAGATGATGGAGTAGGTCCCTTTTGCCTTTGCTGAAAGGAGGAACGGTTTGAATTACCTATCTCCTGCCCGGACTCATTACCGGACTTCGCTCTCTTATTTCTGAACTCTTCTCTGTCTCTCAGCTTCTCTTCCTCAACCTGTTGCACATAGACCACGAACCTGGATATGTCCATGTCCCCGATAAGCATTGCAGCCCTACCTTCCTTACTTGACAACCGAGACAACCCAGCAACAAACAAACTCATTATATTTCTCATGTTTGCAACCATCTCCGGAGCATAGCGGGATAGTTGGGTGAACTTCAGACTGTACTCATGAACACTCAAAGACTCCTTCTTAAGTGTGAGGAACTCACGTACCTTGGCCTCTCTCAATTCTCGAGGAAAGAAATGCCCCAAGAAAGCTTCCTCAAAAGAGGCCCAACTCGCAGGTGGTGCATTCTCAACTCTGCCCTCTTTCCATTGGTCGAACCAAGTTCTAGCAACATCCTTCAATTGATACGCAGCTAGTTCAACTCGCTCAGTATCTACCACATGCATCATATCAAAAATCTTCTTCAACTCCTCAATGAAGTCCTCTGGATCCTCACTAGTACTCGAACCCATGAAACTCGGAGGATTCATCCCCAAGAACTCACGGATCCTAGAAGTGTCAGCTCCTTCCTGTCGAGCTCCCCTTTGCTGACCAATTTGATTAGCTACAGCTCGACTCAACATTCTAATTGCCTCTCTGAACTCGGCATTAGAAACTTCCCCTTGATCTTGCACTCCCGGTGCATAGGGTAACTCCTGCTCATCAGCATAACATTTAGGAAGACGCCCTCTACCAACTCTTCGTGTAGGCATGGCTATCTGAAATACGCGTAAGCACAGATTAGAAAGAAACTTTTTAGAGATAAACTCTAACGCACGAGATGAGTGTGAAAGAAATGAGAAATCTTCCTAAATGTTGTAGCATCCCAATTATAGATATGGCGCGCTTCACACCGATAACTAGGACTCTTGAACTCTGTGCTCTGATACCAAGTTTGTCACACCCCGAGTCTACACCCCGGGTGGTACCGGCACTCGGAGACCATTGCTGGCCCCAAGCGAACTCTTGGCCTGGCTTTCTTAACTCAGCGGAAACCTAACTTAACAGAATAACTTCATGCAAAGCAAAGTCATAAGACAACTTAACTGATACAAATCTGGCCAACAAGGCACCTCGGGTCTCAAAATAGAATATTTACATATATAAGAGACTCAAAACTAACTGGCTGACTGTCTATGAAGCCTCTACAATACTGAGATGGATGTTGGGACAGACCCCACAACATCCTATAATTTCATATGATTTGTGCAGACCTCAAGGACGTGTACATAATTTCTGTGGATGGTAATGATATCATTGACTCCACCCGGAAGGGAAGTCTTGCAAGATTCATAAATCATTCATGGTAAGTGCTGGAACTCCGATTGTCAAATTGATGAAAAGCGAAATAAGATAATTATCTTGGTCAGGTAGTGACATATTGTTATGGTTAATTGGTGTTTATTGATAGCATTGATACTGTGTCTTCCTGAATTTCACAGCAGTCCAAATTGTGAAACAGGTAAATGGATAGTGTCGGGGGAAACAAGGGTAGGTATATTTGCGAAGCAAGATATATCTGTTGGAATGGAGCTGACATATGAATATAATTTTGAGTGGTACTACGGGGGTGCAAATGTTCGTTGTTTGTGTGGAGCTACAAACTGTTCCTTATTTTTGGGTGCCAAGTGTCGACGATTCCGGGTAACTTAAGTTTCTTATGAATTGTTATATCTGGAATACCCTTTGTAGTATCATATCACATGTTCCTTCCTCCCAGATTTTAGACAACAAACAGAATAATGATTTATGCATATAGATTGAATTTGCTAATCACATGCTACAATCCGCAAGTCACATGTTGTAGTATGGTGTATCCTTGTCAAACTCAGTGTGTTGCATTTAAAGCTGAAAAGGAAAGTCGTTCAGGATAAATCTTATTGCTCCGATAAAATGAAAAAGATAAATGCTTAATTCTTATTATGCTTGAATTTATAGCACAACAATTAATATCTTCTTCTCTTTTTTCATTTATAACATAGTTGTAGTAGATGTCTTCTTCTCTTTTTTCATTTAAAACATAGTTGATCAATGGGACAATAGATGTAAACTGATTGTCACTGTCTTCCAGGATGAGAGCACTGTGTTCTAATCCTGAGACATTGATACACAATCTTAATGGGTTTTGAATTATGACACTGGACATAGATTTCACAGTTCATTTGAGATTGTTTGAAAAGGAACGATAATCCCAGCTAACGTAAATAGTAGAACTTAGTAATTCAAATGAAATTTATTAGAAAGAGTGTGGTAGATGTGCTCATATTGGTAAACATAACAAAGAAAGGGGAGGAAAGAGCTACATGTTGATATATGCTTTCGTCAGTACTCTAAAACATAATAGATGCTTCTAAATTCGATATGATTCTGTCAGTCTCATATGTTATTCTTTTGTTCCATTTTTTATCTTTGCTCAGGAGTACAACCATGTTTGGGAAGATGGGGATGACAGGTAATGCTCAACTTTATTTTTTTGTAGTTTGTACAAATCTTAAGACTCTGGTTCTGTTAACTTGATTTGTTTCAGGAGCTCCATTACTTCTACATCTTGATTCTCTATGTAAAAGAGAAACATTAGAGTTGAAGCTTGTATCATTTTGGTTTACTGTTGGATGACTTGACCTTTACTTTCTAACTAAATGATATAATTGAGGTAGTTCACTTATTTGTAGCAGTAATAAGAAAAACTTTCAGGTACTGCTTTATGAGTTTCATCGAATGCTACAGCTTTTACTCATATCCTTCTAATTCTTGGATATTTATTTCAATTGGGTTTTCTTACTTCAGATATATCGTGGATGATCTTCCAGTTTATGACTCAACAGATGATGAATCTACTCTAGTGATCTCTGGAACTAGTGGAGGAAATGAGCACACAAAGATATTGAATGACGGTGAGGGGTCTACGTTCAAGTTGGAACCAACTAATACCGTAGCCAAGAAGTCTCAACGCAAACCCAAGCTGAAGGTCAAATATCTCGTTCTTACTTTTATTCCTTGTATTCTCATGTCACGATCCAATTTAGGACCACGACCGGCGCTTAGGAGCTAGTGTTCAAAGCAATGCTTATTGATAGTTAATAGAAAATCGGACTGATTTCCTCCACTTTAGGGCTATCCAAAAATTTCCCCCATCTCAGAATCAACAATAGAACCAATCAATATCAACCAAACAAGTAATATCTCCATCAGTAGCCATTCGCAACACAATAATACTAAGTCCATCTCGAAATGCGAAAGTGAAGTCCAAGACTAGTCACAAGTCTATAAATGGATACGGAGGGAGTATTACCTTGAGTATTTAGAGTAGTGGTTCAAGTCCAAATATATGCCAAAGTTTCTTAATAGGCACTTCGAAGGAGTTGAAATGGATCGGTGATATTTCTTTGCAAATATTTGGTTGATATGTATAAGGATAGTAGGTAGTCATGTGTTATTCTCCCCTTCTCATCTTCTGTTCATTTAGTAGTACTTGCATAGTATCTTATTCTTCATTTATACTACTACTTGTTACTTCAATTACATTGTTTATCTTGTTGATTATGTTTCTTTGATCTTAACAGCGATTAAATACTGTTGACCCGGGTTGGAAATATGGGAAAAGAGCAAGCGAGACCAATAAGGCAGCAGTTGAGTGTAACTTTTGTAAAAAAGTTACTAATGGCGGAATCTTTCGTCACAAACAACACCTTATTGGTACTTGCAGGGACGTCTCACGGTGTGAACAATGCCCGGATGTTGTAAGGGAAGAAATGAAGAAATATGTTGATGTAAAGAAGGAACAAAAACGCCAGGCTTTACTTCAAAAGGATGTGACTAATACTAGTGATGATAAAGATGAAGATATGGAAGAAGGTGAAGCTACTGAATAGTCACTTCCTTCAACAGTCATAGAATGCAACAATTATAGCTAGTTGATGAAGCTGAGGAAGATGAGAAATAGATGTTGAACCATTATAAAATTGATTTTGTTTGTCCTATGGGATTTTGTGATAACTACCTTTTAGCTTTTAATGTGAACTTTTGCTTATATTTATTGTCTCCATTTATTTTGCAGATTTTTTGTTTCTTCTGAATTATCAGTAGAGCTAATATACCCTTCACTTGGTGGAATTCTCATTTACACAAATTTATTTCCTTGTATTCTCATGTCACGACCCAATTTAGGATCATGACCAGCGCGTAGGAGCTAGTGTTCCAAGCAATTCTTATTGGTATTTTAGAGAAAAAGTATACTACTAATGACAATAATAAAAATGATTAACGTTGCTACTCTAAGAGTTCTAAATTAAAAGGATGTTAGCAAAGAGCTAAAGTTGAGGATGCTCACAGTTCAAATAAAAGATAAAAGAAGCTTTTGTAGAGGTTTAATCCGAAAACAAGATTTGGTGGGAAACAGTGAACCAAACACTTGATATAAAATAAACCCTCCATTGATAATCCCTGCATTACTAATCCTTGCATTACTAATCGTTGTGCTATTAATTTTTGTACCAAACGACTCCTATGCTATACAAGACAATGTAGGAGTGACCTCCGTGATGGACAAGATGAGGGAAGCAAAGTTGAGATGGTTTGAGCATGTGAAAAAGAGGTCCGGGGAAGCTCCAGGTAAGTAGGTGTGCGAGTTTGGCTATAATAGATATTTAGGAGTGGTATAGGTAGGTCCAAGAATATTTGGGGAAGGTGATTAGATGGGACATGACACATCTTCAATTTACTGAGGACATGACTCTAAATAAGAAGATTTGGCGATCGAGGATAACAATATAAGGACAGTAGGTAGCCGTGTGTTGTAGTACTTTTACAAGGAATAAGCAGGGAGTTATCCTTCTCATCTTCTCTTAAAAGTGAATAAAATACTTTTTTGTTTTTAACCTTTTGAAAGTGCATTTTTGAATGAAAAAACAAGTCGCGATATGTTTAACCTCAGTCATCGACAGTTCAGTCGCGGTTTTCACGTCTGTTGCTTCTTGACTTCAGGTAAGTGTTCTTTCTTTCCGCTTCTTTTTTTCTGCTCTGTTTTGCAGTTTTCTGCTGCTACTGCTGCTCTGTTTTGCAGTCTTGTTCTGTTTTGCTGATTATTTTTCTTAACAGTCAGGGTCGGCTCTTGCCTATAAAATTTTAGGCATTGGCCTTTTGGGGGCCTCAAATTTTTATAAATAAAAAATTATGTATCTTAATCCCATTCAAATAGAAGAAATTAAGGAAACATTGTTTTGGATTCTTACATTTTTTCGTTAACAGTTCAACACTCACATTATTTATCCTTTGTAACTCTTTTTGCACTCTATATCTTCAAATCTTTGATAGTTAGAGTAATACACTCTCAAAAATATGAAATAGTCGAAAAGTGTTGAACAAAGTGCATTACAAATTCTTTTTTTTAATTTATTTGTTAATTTTCATATTAAAGTAGGTATACCAAGTTATCAACTTTTTGAATCAAATTCTATGATTCTAACTCTTATCTTTAAAGTTTATCAACTTATTACTTATAAAATTGTGTTAATAATTCATATAATAATTGTCTCAATAAAAGGATGTTTTTCAATGTTGAATTGATAAAATCTTACTTAAAACTAATAATTAAAAAAAAAGGTGTTTGAAAAATCATTTATATAAAAGATATTAAGTAGTAATTTACGTCTAGAAATTTAGAAAAATAAATAGATATAGATAAAATTTATATAGATTTCAGGCCTCTAATAAAAATTTCGCTTTAGGCCACAAGGTATGTTGAGCCGCCCCTGTTAACAGTGATTATATATTGTTACAGTGATTAAAATATAGTGCTGATTATGTTTCTTTGATCTTAACAGCAATTAAAAATGGCTGACCCCGGTTGGAACTATGGGAAATGAACAAGTGAGACCAATAGGAACGCAGATGAATGTAACTTTTGTAAAAAGGTTACTAATGGCGGAATCTTTCGTTACAAACAACATCTAGTTGGTACTTACAAGGACGTCTCACGGTGTGAAAAATGCCCGGATGGTGTAAAGGAAGAAATGAAAATATATGTTGATGAAAAAAGGGAGCTAAAACATCGGGACTCTATTTCAACGGAATGTGACCAATATTGATGATTAGTCCTATCTCTGATCAGCTAGCAACAATGTTTAGTGAGTCCTCGTCTTTTCAAGGAAACCCCTATTGTTCATATTGTTTCATCACAAATGCTAAAGAAATTAAAGCATTTGACTATCAAAAAGTCTCTTCCTAACTTAGGAGTTGTTTAGTTAGAAGAACTTAGCAAGTTATCTAAATATAAAATTTAAAACTAAATATATTATGAACTTAGTTGAGGGTATAATTAAAATCAAGATAAATTTTATATTACCATCATAAAATTATTTAATCTCATATAGAAAGTAAAATAAATAATCATAATTATAATCTCACGTTATAATCTTGATATTGAATCAAACCAGGTAGATTTAATTTTCCTTTCCAGTTTCCACATTCACTATTTAGAAAAATAAATCAAATTACTATTATATTCCATAATCCATAAAAAAAATGTTTGCTCATACTATTTAATTTACAAAAATTAGAGAAACGATTAACAGTTGATCAAAAAAATTCTTCCTAATCATTTAGTTAGAAGGATTAACTGATTATTCCAATATAAAATTTACAATTAAATATGTCCTGCATTTAGTAGATGATATAACTAAAATTAAGATAAATTTTATATCACAATCATCTTATATACCTTATATAGAAAGTTATAATTTCAAATTATAATTATAATTTTGAACCTAACAACTTAGTAGATCTAGTCTTCTGTCATGCCCCGAGCCTACACCCTGGGCGGGACCGGCACCCGGAGACCATTTCTGGCCCCAAGTGAACCCTTGGCCTGGCTTTCTTAACTCAGCGGAAACAAAACTCAACAGAATAACTCAGTGCAAATGCAAGGTTACAAAACAACTTAACTTATAACATCTGGCCACAAAGGCCACTCGAGTCTCAAAATAGGATATTTACATATATACATAGAAGAGAGACTCAAAACTTACTGACTGACTGTCTAAGAAGCCTCTAAAGTACTGAGATGGATGTTGGGACAGACCCCACAACATCCTAATAAAACAAAACTTAAGAATGCAAACCAACCGAGTCCTCCGGAAAGCAAGGAGGCTCACCACTGACTCTGACGTGCTCAGCTGGATCAACGACGTGCAGGATACTGATCCGGGGTACCTGTCTCTGCATCGTCATAAGATGTAGGCCAACTGGCATCAGTACATTGAATGTACGAGTATGCGAGCTGGAAAACTAAGCAACATAGGCTAGAAGGAAATCTGGAAGAAACTGAATAGCTTACCTGGCTCAACTCAACTCAACCTGACTAACTTCTTTCAATATAAGGCAATTTTAAAACAAGTGCAATATAAAGAAAGACTGCTTAAAACATGCTATAAACTCTGTGTGTATACAAAGATACAATATGCCTGAGATGTATATAGAAATACAAATGAACTAATGTATCTAAAAATACAATAATTTTTGTGTATGAAGATACAATAACTGTTGTGGGAGTTTCTCTAACCGACAACCATCACTTAAGAGCTATAGTGATGATACAGCAATCGACCTCACGCTGCCAGAGCATCTTACACCCAGCCAAAGGTATAAGACTTGAACTGCCTAATGGATCCACTAGTCTATCTGGAAAAGGATTCATCTAAAAAGTATGATCCTTTTCTACCCATGGTGGCTAACATGGTTCTATAGGGGGTGTAGGTTCTTTGAACTCTCCCCCAATTAGGTGCTCGATACTACTCCCAAAAATGTACTGGCTCTTATGTTTTTAAAACATATTTCTTCCTGTTGATATGAGATAATTACTCAAAAACTAGCCCGAAGGCTCTTTGGAAAATCTCAGTTTCCAACCTTGCTTAAATGTAACAACATTTCTTTAAAACTTCTTTGGGAATACATAGTTCCCTAATAACTTTGAGAAATGAACTCAACTTTATGTTCTTGACCTAACTTGAAACTTGAGACTCTTTACTCGACTTGAACTTAAACCTTAAACAAAGATAAAACGTTTGATAACAACTCTTGAACAACTTTAAAGATTTGCTTGGACTTACCTCATAACTTGCTTAACTTGACTCTAACTTCAGTTGACTTTGATCCAAACTCGCCTAGAATTGAATTATGGATTCAAGGTATATGATCGCATGTTTATAGATGAGTTTGGGAGGTTTAAATGTACATTAGAGTGGTGGAAACAACTAGGAAACATAGGTACAATACCTAGGAACATGCATGAGAAAGTGTGGAAAGAAAGGGAGAACATGGCGTCCTTGGCGCTCTGCAAGGCGCGGAGCGCCAGCCCTCGAAGCTCAGAAGGAACCTGTTGGCGCTCTGAGAGGCGCGACGCCCCAAGGGCTGGACTTCAGAGTCCCGTTTGGGGCGCGCTGGTAGGCACGACGCGCCAGACCCTTCCCCAGAAAACCCGACTTTTCTCCCTCTTTTCTCCAGCTCTAAACCTCTCTAACCTCAATGGATTCAACCCCAAACATTAAGGATCATAAAACCCCTCAATATACAAGAGATTCAACTCAAACACACAACCAAATCATGTCCCACAACCAACAATAACTTCAACAACACAATCAACAACATCAACAACACAACCCAACAACTTCAACAACATATCCAATCTTGCTCAATAATAATGAGTTGGGTGTGTGGGGGAAAGGATCAACCCACACTAAGAACTCACATACCTAGTAGGGATCACCACCGACGATATCTACGACGATCCTTGATGGAAACTCCTTGCTTGATCTTCTCTTTCTCCTCTTCTTCTCATCTTCTTCTCCTCTTCACTCTCAAGCCCTAGGTCTCACCCTTTTAAAAAAAATTGGACCAAATGATCCAAAAATCATCCTAACACAACAATAGAACCCTAAAAGAAATGGCTACGGAAAAGACCAAAATGCCCTTAAATTTTCCGGACGGATTCCCTACCAACTGCCCAAATTTCAAAGGGCATAACTCGCTCATACGAACTCGGAATTGAGCAAACTCAGCGGCGTTGGAAATATCATTCCAAGGGGTTTCCAAACATAACTGGAACTACTCCTAACTCATCCTGATCTAGGAGTTATGACTGCTCAAAGTTGGCCAAAACTCACTGATTTCCCACACATAACCAAATTCCAGATTTTTTTTGAATTTCTCTCCAAAAATGACTATTTTGGATTTTTAAGCCTCTTGATAGTTATTTCAAATTGCCGGATGTTACATCTTCCTTTTCCACATTTACGATTTCTTTTTTAAAAAAATAAATTAAAAGTGTAAATATTGATAGGGATATGAAAATTTATAAAGTTTATCTTAAATCTTAATTACCCTTCTTAACTTGGATATTTATTACTCCCTCCGTTACATTTTATGTGAGGTAGTTTGACTCGACACAAAGTTTAAGAAAGAAATGAAGACTTTTAAAACTTGTGGTTCAAAATAAATGATAGAAATTTGTGTAGCTGTAAATCATTTCATCAAGGGTAAAATAAACATTTTATAGTTTAATTGTTACTTAATATAGAAATGTGTCATTTTTTTTGGACTGACCAAAAAGAAAGTAATTCACGGGACAGAGAGAGAGTATCATTTATCCTCCCTCAACCAAATTCTTAACTTGTGAGATTATAGTGGTATGTTATTGTTGTTGTATTATAGATAGTACAAATAAGTAAAATTATGATCTAATAGGAGTTAGTGTTCTCATGGTTAGTGCACCATTATTCATCAAACTATTATTTTACATATCATAATTTGTAAAAAAATAATTTCTAGAATGTTTATTCATACGGTTTCATTTACAAATATTAAAGAAACAGTTAAAAACTTTTGACAATCAAAATGTTTCTTCCTATCTCATAGAGTCGTTTGGTGGGAGGGATTAAGTGAATTATTTCGATATAAAATATGAAATTAAATACATATTTTATTCAATTGAGAATATAGTTAAAATTAAAATAAAATTTATATTACGATCAAAATATTATCTATCTCATATAGATGGCAAAAATAATTTCAAATTATAATTTTTATTTTTGAACGAAACAATTTAGTA